AGGAGCAGAAGGTCCTACATGGAATAAAACATAGTGTCCTGTTACCTCACGAACACATGTACGCTCACCAAAATTTGAACAAAACATATAGATTATTACCTGCCCCTGCGCTATGAGACATCCTCGGTGGGTCGCCTCATACGTCAGGTTGAGCAGGTGGAATTGTGCCATCCTACAAAAAAGTCAATGTATTAGAAATTCAATATACAATGAAACATGAGCTTAGAAATGTACAAGTAATTGACATAATTACAAGCATAAATTGAGACATGCATAATTAATTAAATGATTATGACAAATATGAAATAATGAAATCAACTAATAGTCTCACCTCACTAATCTACCAATGACAACATCGTGAATTGTGGCCAAGTCTACCACACTTGCCGCACTCGTACTGCTCGGGGTCAGTAACAAATGGGGTTCCTCTCCCGCGCCTCGTTCTTTCGGGTATCTGATCCATAACCATCCTGTGCCTCGTCCTCTTCCTTGATCCACGCTTGTTCCAATGGTAAGCTAGATCCGCAATATACTTCGGCCCATCATATGGAGGCCACTCTCTAGGGTCCTAGAAAAGCACGAAGCGGGGGCTCCATGTGTGCACAAGCGTGTCGACACTGAACTCGTGAGGTATCCTGCTCTCGATATTATAGTTGTGATGCCTAGCTGCTGCCACCAAATGGGAACATAGAAAGTGGTACTGCCTTGGTTTACCACAAGTGCATTTGAAATCTTGGAGGACAACCATATGCATCCTCGACTCTCGGACCTCGCTGTCGGATGTTGTACCGCCCCTATGCTCGACCTGATAAGTCCCTATGGCATGGTCAAAGCATGTAACCTCATATGTGCCAGCCCTTTCATTTGCCTTCTCTAGGTGTGCCTTTGGTTTTGGAGCCCATATCTCTCCATCACTCCACAACTTCAATGCATGGACGTGTCTATCGTTGAACCAGGCAACAAGCTTATAGAAGGTGAATTGAACGATTGCATTCACGGGCATACCATGTATCCCCAATAGCAACTTATTGAATGACTCTGCCATGTTGCTGCACTAAAACTCGTACCTCCATCCACCGACGTCGTGAGCTCTTGTCCATTTCTCCAAATCCCTCATCAAACCTGTGAGCCATTGTCTACCTTCTGCATTTGATGCGGTTCTGACATGCTCTAACTTTTTCTGAAAGTACTTGTCCTCAAGCTGTCGAGCAGCCTCCTAGAACAAATCAAAGTTACCCTTCACACCATCCTTCCGGAGTAGATTCTCGGCAAGGTGCCGAGTACACCAACGATGGTGTAAAGGTGCATACCCCTCTATCTGCTCTCGCATGGCACTAAGTATGCCCTGGTGCCTATCAGATATGATGCCAACCTTACTGCTAGGCCCAACCACGTGTATCCGGACTAGCCTCAAGAACCATCCCCAACTGTCATTGTTCTCCTTCTCAACCAAAGCAAATGCTAAAGGAACCAACTTGTTGTTCGTGTCACATGATATGGCTATAAGAAGTGTGCCCTGGTATTTGCCAATCAAGAACGTACCATCAATGGAGAAGATGGGATGACAGTGCCTAAAGGCCTCGACACACTGAGGGAAGCACCAGAAAGCACGGAAGAATATCTGCCTCCCATCCTTCCATGCATTTGGTTTTGGGATGTACTCATAATGCATGCCTGGATTCACCGCTTTGATTGCATTGAAAAGTACTGGCAGCTGCTCGTACCCATCCTCTCAGTCCCCATATATCATTTTCTACGCTCGCTACTGAGCCCTCCAAGCTTTACCATAAGTTATCACATAGCCTCCATACAACGCCTCAACGGTCCTGATAATTGTCCTCATCTTCATGTTGGGTTCTCCCTGTAATATTCCCATCAACCGCTTGGCAATGAGGGTAGATATCAACTGTCGATGCCTCAGTGTTAGCTCATGGTCAGCACAATTGTATGGCCTGACAACTTTTGTGATCTTCCACTTTCCGGTGACCTTTTGCTTCCTTACATAAACCCTCCATGGACAGCGTTCCTTGTCACACACAACTGTGTAACGACGCTCCGCATATGAATGCAAGACCTTGTAAGGTCTCTTTCGTATCACTGCAAACGCCTGCAACCACCTCTTCAATGCAGGGAGGTCCTTGAACACCCTCCCACTCTCAATTACCATGTTAGGGCCAGCCTTAGGAGCTTCTAGGAGCTCATCATCACGTCCTTCTGCACACACCTGATCGGAATGAGCAAGATCGCTGAACTCGTGAACTCTTGGATCATGGCGGCCGGAAAAGATACGCCTCAGCATCTCAACATCACTCTCTGTCAGCTCTCCAATAGGGCGATCATCATCAGAATCAAGAGCCCTTGCCATCTCATATGGCTCTGAATCATTCATAATTTCAACACTATTGGAGCCATAGAATCCATCTCCACAATGCACTTGCGCAGCAACAGGGGCACATCCACATTCTCAGGAATGTCTCCTGCAACATAAGCAGAGAAATAAGGAAATAATGAAAGAAATGGATGTAAGGAAGGGGGTAAGCTCCCAATAACCATGCGGTTAAGACACTTACTTGGATGATTCTGTGTCAAATGGATCTCATGAGGAGGATCTGTCACAACAACATGAGTCTGACAAGAATCTCCAACTACCGCATTGGGAGCAGATTGAGCATCAAGAACCGTAGGTGCAACCTCCACATCCATATCAGGTTTTGGGACGGGATGGTCGATGTGTGCCTGCTGACCCATTAGTGGGGAAAACCCATGAGGGATGGGATCAACTAACACCCGACGCATAACCATGTCCAAACATTATAGCTGGCTCTTCATAGCCGATCTCACATAGTTCTCCCACTGATCCGCACACCCAATTGGGATCATTCGCCTGAGGATGTTGGAAGGAGAACCTAGGTGTAGTACACCCTCAACTGTAATGCCATCATCTCTAAGGCAATGCAGCTCCTCCCGAGCCCTTGCAATCATCTCACTAAATGAAGGCCTATCATTAAATAGCACAGTCATGCTTTGCATGTCAACAAACTCAACATATCCATAGCGATCGTATTCAACGGTGCCTCCATGATATATGATCACTAGGTTGTCCATCTAGTTCAAATACATAACGAAACACATGTCCTTTAGTCCAAATTAGATGATAGATAGTACCTAACAAATACTTTCTAACTATAAACTAAGTAAATAAGATAATAACTACATACACAGATACAGTGTACTAACTAAATAGCTAGATCCTATTTAGTTAACTAAATATATAACTACCTATCTAAGTAGCTATCTAATTATATCTATGTATCTATGTTTCTATCTATCTACATATCTATCTCACTAGATCACTAACTAAATCAACTACCTAAGTCATCACATTAACTAGTAAATAACAAATGCAAAAACTACTACACTACAATCAAAGCTAACTAAGTACGTACATTGCAAATTCACAATTTTTACCTGTCCGACGACGGAGTCGCGGACGTCGACGGAGTCACAATGACGTGGCGTGGGTCAGTCGAATAACGAGCGGGGGCGGCGGTGGCACGGCCGAACCTTCGCAGGTGTCGGGGCGGCGGGGCTTGGCCGAGGGCGGCGGTGGGAGCGCTGGTGGCGTGGGAAGCCCGACGCTCCACCGGCAACGGCGCGGCTTAAGCGGGCGGCGGGCGGCACGGCGAAGCGCGCCTAGGCAGCGGTGGCGGCAGCACGGTCACACACGACATCGGCGCCGCTGCGGCGCTTGGCGGATCCAGCAAGAGCGTGGGAAATGGCGGCGCAGCCTCGGTGGTGGCGCGGGGCACGGGGCGCGGGGCGGACACGGGGAACGGCGTGGGGCGGGAGGCCGACGCGGGAGCGGGCCGCGGCTGTCCGGCGTGGCGCTGCGCATGGGCGTGGATACTGCAGAGCGGCTTGGGCACAACCTGTGTGGGCGGCGGGGGCGAGAGAGAAAGCCTTGAAGGCGTCCGGTGCGGGAGAGGGCGCGGGCGGCGGCGGCGGCGGTTCTCTGCTCGGGCGAGGGAAAAGCGAGAGAGAGAGGGAGAGGAATAGAGAAAGATTGGGGCATATACGTAAGATAGGCTCGGCGCTAGGGTTACTGGCGTCGAGCTGCCTGCCATGTCACCGCCACGTTGGCTTCGAGCCCAAGAGCTCGGCACCAGAGACGCTGGCGTCGAGACGTGTTAGCTCGGCGCCAGCAATGATGGCGCCGAGGTAAGGATCCAGATTTTAAAATCTTTTCTCCAGAGGCATATTTATGAAAAAATTCATAAAAATAGCTAAAAAATAAAAAAAATCAGGAGTACTGCTCAGCCTCTCCCCTGTCAGCGTATGTTTTTGTTCCACCGGCTCCTATTTTTATTTTGAGACCTTGTTTAATTACATGACGTAAAGTTCTAGGTATTACATCGAGTGTCACATGATGGTATTTAATAAGATGTTTGGATATTAATGAAAAAATAAATTATAGAATTTGTCAGTAATTCGTGAGACGAATTTATTAAGTCTAAGTAATACGTCATTAGTACATGTGTTACTGTAGCACCACATTGCCAAATCATGGACTAATTAGACTTAAAAGATTCATCTCGCAAATTAATTGTATACGATGTAATTAATTATTTTTAGTCTATATTTAATATTATATATATATATATATATATAAACATTTGATAGGATAAGGAATAAACTCTACGAGGAACTAAACAAGACCTTGCTTCAAGTTCCGTGTTCCATAGGAATCATATCTATTCGCTTGTTTTATAAGTTGTATTTTTTTAATCAATAAATAATATTTATCTCTCACAGCAAATCCATCAATATTACTTTCGATATTACTTTTATCAACCTAGCGAAGTTCGGGATACCACTGCCAGTTCCAGGCTTCCAAGCTCCAACCCTCTCGTCTCTGTAGCCTGTAGGCTGTAGCATTTGTCGGGTTGGATTGGGTTGTTCCGCTTGGGTACCCGGGTGGGATCGAAATCTGTGTGGCATCCATGGCGGCGGTCGAGGGGACGACGAAGAAGAAGGTGATCATCGACACCGACCCCGGAATCGGTAGGTACCCATCCTTGCAATCGTCGCCTTCGCTGTAGATCGATGCTGCTGCTTGCTGTTGTTGCGTTCGGATCATATCGGCAGTCCACTAACCGAACCACTGTTCGACGGAGCAGACGACGCGATGGCCATCTTCGTGGCACTGCGGTCGCCGGAGATGGAGGTGCTGGGCCTCACCACTACCTTCGGCAACGTCCACACCGCCCTCGCCACGCGCAACGCGCTCCACCTGGTACGCTGCTGGTGCCGCCGCTTGCCTTCCTCTCTTCCCCCACCCTGTTGGTCTGTTCCGCGCACTCCGACCGCGGCTCACATTTGCATCTGATGCGTGTACTTCAGTTGGAGGCTGTTGGAAGGACTGACATCCCCGTGGCAGAGGGATCCCATGTAACAATCAAGGTAGCTGTCAGCATCTCTTTGTTCCTGTTTCCACGCTGAATCGATGTTCAATTGTCAGCGTTGCAGCTCTCATCAAACAGAAAAAAGGAATTCAAAGAATTGCAGTCATCTAGTAAATCAACAAACAGTTGAGGGACCGCCGTCAAGAGGATCCGACTTCCTACGTGCTGATCAGCAGCTTTCAACAAGGCTGTTTGCTTGTTTGTTTACTGTGTCATCTGAATTACTGTTTATTTCCCTTTTTCCCCCTGTACACGGAGCACAGAAAGCTGAGGATCGCAAGCTTCGTCCACGGTTCAGACGGCCTGGGAAACCAGGACTTCCCTCCACCGGCTACCAAGCCTGTAGATCAGTCGGCTGCTGCCTTCCTGGTTGAGCAGGCAAATCTGTACCCTGGACAAGTTACCGTTGTCGCCCTCGGTCCACTTACCAACCTTGCTCTGGTCTCCTCTCCTCTGCTCTCCTCTGCTCTCCTCTCCTTGGCTTTGGTTACCCAATACAGTACATACATTGGGTGCACCTCTCGATTGTATCTCTTGTGGTCTAGCTTGTCTGGCTTCTTTTTAGTTGAATTTTTTGGCAACCTCTGGTTACCCAGGCAGTCAAGTTTGACCCTTCATTCCCAAAGAAGATAGGGCAGATTATTATTCTTGGCGGTGCGTATTCAGTTAATGGAAATGTGAACCCTGCAGCTGAGGCAAATGTGAGGGTTCTCTCTTGTACCATGTATTTTTCTCCTAACTTAATACAATGACATGCAACTCTCCTGCGTGTTTGAGAAAAAAAAATCCATAATCCTTAGTTATCATGTAACTAAGTAGTTTTGCTCGAGCTCTACAAATGAGGTGGCAGCTACCATAGTTGAGATAATATGCAGTAACACTGTTAATTGGAGTTGTACCGTCATGGCTTTCCTAGTGAATTCAGAGACAAATAAACTTCCCCCTAAATTAGATGATGCTTATGCAGTGCATCACTTTTCTTCTTGTTTCAGAGCCGATAGTAATGGGTTTATGTTTATGAACAGATATTTGGCGACCCTGATGCGGCAGATATTGTGTTCACCTGCGGTGCTGATATTTTGGCCGTGGGACTGAATATAACCCATCAAGTAGTTCTAACTGGTAATTCTGCTGCATTTAAGGGTTACATTCTTTTTGCTCAGGATGTATGCTGCATCAAGAAGTTCAGATTAATGAGTATCAGAGCATACAAGTACAAGCATAATGTATCTAACTTGCTACATGTACCTTCTAATTCCATCTTACTCCACTATGACCATCACATAGCTAGAGCTGAAAGCAGCTACGACTTGTTGCATTATATCATTTGTGATTATGAAATTATGATTTTGCATATACTGCACGTTGGTCTTCGGTTCTTCTGCAGTATGATGTGACTTGTGATTGCTTTGCTAGTGGATTAGATCAAATTTATCCCAATGATAAGTACTTAAGATTTTGAATGATTCGAATTGTAGGCTATTTGGAAGTGGCCCAACCTGCCATGTATTACAGCTCAATTTCCTTGGTGCTTTGACACACATCCCCTTTTATTGCAGATGCTGACCGGGAGAAGCTTGAACAGTGTGATAGCAAATATGCCCGCTACTTATGCAAGATAATGGGCATTTATTTTGATTACCACAAGGATGCCTACTTCATAAAAGGTTTGTATACATTATTAGTATCTTCCAAGGAAGTCAAAATGGTTCTGTTAAAGTACTTGCAGCGGCGACAGATCAGAAGCTGTGCAACCTTGTGACTTGACTTCACATTGAACTACTTACAGGAGTGTATCTTCATGATCCAACAACGCTTATTGCTGCGGTGAATCCATCACCACTGACTTACACAGAAGGTGTTGTGAGGGTACAGACGGTTGGACTCACAAAAGGCCTTACTGTTTTCGATAACACCAAGAAAAGGTTAGGCCACTCTCTCTGTCTGTCAGAAAGCCAAGTCGCTGAAACAGTAGCAGTAGATTTTGAAATGAAGCGATTCCCCCCTAATCCTATTGTACTATAGCGCACTTGTGAATTCGATTCATTCTTAAGTCCTAACGCCTCTTGACTTCACTTTTGCATGGTATATGGTTGGCTCTTAGTAGAATGATGAGGTAGAATTCAGTCTGATGCACTGAACATCCCGACCCCGAGTGTGTTTGCAGGTATGGAGAGATCACAGCCTGGACTGGCATGCCCACCGTGAAGGTCGCTGTCACCGTCGATGCTTCTGCCGTGGTAGAGCTGATGATGCAGAGGCTGATGACCGATGACTAGCAGCAATGCCAGCTGATTGGCAGCACCGCGATTAAGACTATTTGCAGTCTTAAGGGAGAAAGGCGTTGGAACTTGGAAGTGCATGTGTTGCTGACGAGAAATTTCGTCTGCATTGTCATCAAAACAACAAGATGCATTGCACGCGAGCTATCCACTTATGTGGTGCGTGCCTTGGTGTTTATGTACAGTTTGTATGCTCGATAATCGGCACATGGCCAATTCGACAATGTGATACAGTCATACTAGTACGTTGCTCATGCTTCTGAGAAAACAGAGTGAAATTAAGTTATTAATTAAATTAATTGAGCCATCTGATGCCAGATATTGTTCCGTCAGGTGTTGCACGATGTTATTGTATGGTCAGAAAATTAAATGTCCTAGTAAATGACGTAACTTTGAATGATATACTCTATTTGTTCCGTATTATAGATTTTTTAAATGTCATATTAGTTTTGTTCTAAGCTAAATATATTTCTGTTTTTACCATTAATTTTAAATTTTTTTATATAGGTTAACAACATACGATTTATGTTTTTAGATCCGCTATGAAAAACATTTTCATAATATTCCTCATCGGCGATCGGCCACAAGCCGAGGCAGCGACACACTGAGCGAGCAGTAGCCGGCCTGCTATCCAGTCGAGTCGGGCAACATGCCTCATGGGCCAGATTCCACAGTCCCACATACGGAGCGAAAAAAAAGGAGGTGTTTCCTCCTTAACCGGCGGCCGACGACCAAATCGTCGTCCGGTGCCCGTCCGCCGCTGCCATGCTACGCCTCTGGAACCGCGTGGGTGCTTACCTTCAACCCGGAACGCGTGAAAGAATTTTTGCTACGGACAAAACAACTTGAGGTGCCTCCCACTTCGCGGATGTTTAGGCACGCGGTTGCTGCTGTTGCCAATAATCCCAAAGAGAAGGTTGCTGCCAAGCTTGAGTTCTTTAACAGGACTCTCGGTTGTTCTGAGTCTGAGGTTTCCACTGCAGTGTCCAAGATACCAGCTATATTAGGATTGTCTGATGAGATTCTTCTCCGCAAGATTGAGTTCCTAGTCAATGAGGCTGCGATGGAGCCACAGTACATTGTTGAAAGGCCTGTCCTGTTGGCACTGAGCCTGGAGAAGAGGCTAGTGGCGCGGCATTATGTCATGAAGGTCCTGCGGGAAAAGGGGCTGCTGGATGGCAGAACAGGCTTTTACACATTTGCTAAATTAGGAGAGGGTGCTTTCAAATTGAGGTTCCTGGCCTTGCAGATGCTTATGCTACAGCTCGTGCTGGTATTATGCCCTCTAGAGTCTAATTTTAGCATCTCCTTTTGTGTTTTAGGCAGATGGTGGAACTGCAATTTATGCTCATTGGCAGATGAGGCCTTGTGACGGCTCATAGACCCTCAATTTTGATTTCTGCAGTAGAATCACCAATGATCTCTGACTTTTGTTGTAGACCAAGTTTAAGTTATGGTTATTATTTATGGAGGAGCTGGGTTTGACTTGTTCTATAGGGTAAATGTGCATGTTTGTTAGTTTCTTGTTCTGCTAGCTCATTGCTGAAGATTATCTTACTTTTTCTTCTGTGAATAAGTCTGTATTGGACAACTTATTATGCTATTTCGAATCTGACAGTAGTCCTCTATTCATGGTATCTAACCATTTTTTATTAGCATGTTTTTATTCCAACTGATGTTTTACCTAGCTCCCACTAGCTGAATGAATTATTTTTTTTGTTCAAGCGATGCTTACATGTAGAAACAAGAGAGCGGCAGGAGCCAACACGCTCCCAGGGTGGCCACGGTAGCAAAATTATTTTGGGTCCTTCGATTGCAGATGAGCGGTGCTGCTGTCCCGATGCCTCTCATGCCAAAATATCTAGCGCTCTTAGTCCTCTCTCCTAAACCCTAGATCTACTCTTTCCTTCCACTCTCCCTCTCCCTCCCCCCGTGGTGGCGGCGGCGTGACGGTGCCCCCCTGTGCGATGGCGCAGAGCAAGCGCGGCCACCGTCGCGGCGGGCACAGGCGCGGCGGCGCGAGGGTGCCCCGTTGGTGCGGCGGTGTGGCAGGGCAGGTGCGACCTGCAGATGCAGCGGCGCGAGGCGAGCACGCCCCCTGGTGCAACGGTGCGGCAGCGCAGGTGGGCCCCAGGGGCGCCCCCAGCATGCGGGGCCTCCGGCGCGAGCAGACATAGGTGAAGGTGGCCTCTCTCCCTTGCTCCTCCTCTCTTTCCCTCACCGGTGCCGGGGTCCAGCGTCGATATGTGCTTGTTGGCCTTCTTTGTTGGGGTCAATCAGAGGCCTCCATGGCCGGATCCGGTCGTTCCCCCACTAAGTCTGTGTAGAGCACTAAGCGTGAAGCTTTGAGGGCCTCCATGGCCGGATCCAGTGCCTCCATGGCCGGATCCGTCCTTCTGCATCTGTGGCCGCCGTCTTGGGTGAAGAGCCACATGTGCCCTGCGGCCGAGCTGCAAGGTGGGCACACACCGGTCAGTCGAGTCGAGCTAGGCCATGGCAATGCGCTCAAGCTGGACCCGTGTCACTACCGCTTCTTTTCTTCCTCTCGTCAACGTCGCATCCTCCCTTCACAGCATCACGTCCTTGACTTCGATTCACCACGGTTGCTCAAACTTTGGAGGAATTGGTACGTTTCTTTTCTGTTCTTTCATTTTTTATTTGTTGGCCAGTGTTGTTCTATGTTCTTTTATATGCTGACGGCACTGACTTTTCTTCCTGCCTGCAAGTTTGCATCATCTGGATCTGAGGTGTCTCATGCCAGCGCTCACACCATCGACGTTGTGCTGGGTTGTTGGGTCGGCGCCTTGGCACGTAGCAATTTCCTGCCCATCCGCGTATGCAGGTCAGTTCAGCTTATATTTGCAAAGCCTTTCACTTGATATTCTAACACAAAAAAATGGACTAATAGAGATATAGAGACGTCTCATTAGGCATTGTATAGCGAGTTTATTCAGTCTCCTACTTGACTTTTGTTTTCATTGTGTTGGCTTGATTTGATTATCAACTAAAAGGCTTGGCCTTTGTGACAATGTACTGTGCTGGAACAACTGTGACATGCAAGCCAATACTTGGTCCATTTCCGCAAAAAAAAATGGTCAATTTCTAATAGAATTTTTCTTGGCCATTTGTATTAGTAATGGACAAGCAAAAAGCACTATTGCATCTAAGAATATAAGGCCATATTTTCTGAGCCATACCATACAAAGAGATTACTTTTCAGTTTCCCATTTTTTTTCTGTCTTCACTGACTCAATTATCTAGGATTTAATATGGCAAGTATTGAAATAATTGCAGATTACTTAGGTATTGGCATTTAGGATCTTGATAAGAAGTTGGTGCTATGAAGAATGCCAGCTAAGTGGACATTCAGCGTTTAGGCAGGCTTTCGTTTTTCATATATATATATATGTATGTTACAATTCATTAAAATTATTTTTGCTTCATATTTTCATTTGTAGCCAAGAAATCTAACATTCAATTCATGAATTGGTGTCAGCTTTTCAGGTTTGCATGTGTGAACTAAGAACAATTCATGAATTGGTGTCAGCTTTACAGAACACTCCCATTTCAATTTCATGGCTGGCTGTAATAAGGTAATAACCTGAACATTGTCAGTTTCGCGGTTGGATGACTGTAGTTACCTATGAGTTACCTAATTAGTCTCCTGGGTTGATTTTGTACTTCTATATTTTTTCTGCTCCTACACAAAGGTTGCAAGAAACTCCTCTCAACATAGCAGGTCCCAAGCCCTGATAAAAGAAGAGGGTTGTGATAAGCGTGGCGAGCCAACGTTAAACCTAGCCATTCTAATGGAAATGAAACCCGAAAGAAAACCATTGGGGCGTAACCCTCTTAGCGACGCGCCATATCGGAACCCGGGTATGGTGTTAAATGAGCTAGGGCCGGGTCGTCACCCCCATGACGCGCCGTATCGCGATGTGGGCACGGTGTCAAGTGAGCAAGGATCGGGTCGTCGCATCCTTAGTGGCGCGCTACATCGGCGCCCGGATGTAGTGAAAAATGAAAGGGTCTTCACATTTGAGTCGACGGGTGCGAAGGGAAGGAAGCTAGTCAAACCAACTAGGATCCGTTTTGATAGTTGGAATGTAGGGTCGCTTACAGATAAGTTAAGAGAATTAGTTGATACCGCGACTAGGAGACGTGTAAATATATTATGCGTTCAAGAGACTAAATGGAAGGGTCAGAAGGCGAAAGAGGTAGACAATATAGGTTTCAAGCTTTGGTACATAGGGACAGTCGCGAATAGAAATAGAGTAGGAGTTTTGATTGATAAGAGCCTCAAGAATAGTGTGGTGGGAGTGAGAAGGCAAAGAGATAGGATTATCTTAGTCAAACTTGTCATTGGTGATATGGTCTTGAACATAATTAGTGCGTATGCCCCCCAAGTAGGCCTCGACGAGAGTGCTAAGAGACAGTTCTGGGAAGACTTAGATGGCTTGATTAGAGCTGTACCTAGTAGTGAGAAGCTTTTTATAGGAGGAGATCTTAATGGGCATGTAGGTACTACAAGCGTAGGTTTCGAGGCAGTTCATGGAGATTTTGGGTATGGTAGTAGGAATCAGGAGGGGGAGGAAGTTCTGGACTTTGCGGTAGCTTTTGACCTGATGATAGCCAACACTTTCTTTAGAAAGAGAGAATCTCATCTAGTGACCTTCAGTAGCGGACAACACTCTAGCCAAATTGACTTTGTCCTCGCAAGAAGAAAGGACAAACGAGCATGCTTGGGTTGCATGGTGATAACAGGGGAGTGTGTTGTTTCTCAACATAATCTTTTGTTGGCAGACTTTCATTTTTAGGTGCGTGCCCGTAGGGATAAACAAGCTAAGATTGAAAGAACAAAGTGGTGGAAACTGAAAGGGGAGACGTCAGAGGTATTCAGAGAAAGGGTTATCAAAGAGGGCTCTTGGAAGTAAGAAGAGGACATAAACAACATGTGGCAGAAGATGGCAACCAACATTCGGAAGGTGGCCTCAGAGGTGTGTGGAGTAACCAAAGAAAATGGAGGCGAGGCTAAAGATACTTGGTGGTGGAACGAGAAGTCCAAAGGGCTATTAAGGAGAAGAAAGAATGCTATAGATGCTTGTACCATGACAGGAGTGTGGACGACATAGAGAAGTACAAGGTGGCAAAGAAGACTGCAAATTGAGCTGTAAGTGTGGCAAAGGGTAGAGCGTACGAGGATCTTTACCAACATTTGGGTACAAAGGAATGAGAGAAGGACATTTATAGGATGGCTAGGGTTCGTGAGAGAAAGACAAGGGACTTCAACCAAGTTAAGTGCATTAAGGATGAAAGGGAGCATCTCTTGGTGAAGGAGGATGAGATCCGACATCGGTGGCAAGAGTATTTTGACAAATTGTTCAATTGTGAGAATACGGACATAATCTTTCAATTGGATGACTCTTTTGATGAGACCAATAGGCGCTTTGTGTGGAGAATCCAAGAATCTAAGGTCAGAGAGGCGTTGAAAAGGATGAAAGGAGGTAAGGCGATGGGACTGGATGGTATCCCAATCAAGGTGTAGAGATGCCTCGGGGATATAGCTATAGTATGGCTAACCAAGCTGTTCAACCATATTTTTCGATCGAACAAGATGCCTGACGAGTGGAGAAGTATATTGGTACCGATCTACAAAAATAAAGAGGATATTCAAAGTTGTACTAATTATCGGGGAATTAAGTTGATGAGCCATACTATGAAGCTATGGGAGAGAGTTATCGAGCATCGCTTGAGAGCAATAACGCGGGTCTCTATGAATCAATTTGGTTTTATGTCCGGAAGGTCAACCACGGAAGCCATTTTTTTAATAAGACAAGTTATAGAGCGGTATAGGGAGAAGAAGAAGGACCTACACATGGTTTTTATTGACTTGGAGAAGGCTTATGATAAAATATCAAGGAATGTTATGTGGTGGGCTTTGGACAAACATAAAGTCCTAACGAAGTACGTTGGGTTCATTAAGGACATGTACAACAATGTTGTGACTAGTGTTCGAACAAGTGATGGAGACATGGATGACTTCCCGATTAGGATAGGACTACATCAAGGGTCAGCTTTGAGCCCTTATATGTTTGCCTTAGTGATGGATGAGGTCACAAGGGACATACAAGGGGACATCCCTTAGTGTATGCTTTTCGTGGATGATGTAGTGCTAGTTGATGAAAGTCGGACAGGAGTGAATCAGAAACTGGAGTTATGGCGGGAGACTTTGGAGTCCAAAGGTTTTAGACTCAGTAGAACTAAAACTGAGTATATGAGATATGACTTCTGTCATAGAACCGACCAATTTATAAGAGCACAAGTACAAAAACAATCGCCGAAACGATCAAATTCTCGAACTTGAGCCCATATAAACCCGGTA